GCGATTATCACGATCTTTTATGATCCAACGGCTAGGGAATTACGAGAATCATTTTAGTGAGACGAGTTTCTTTTTTTTTCTGATTATAGAAAGAAAATAAAGAGATAATTATGTAGAAATTCAATTATTATAAGTTTATAACGATCGAAAAGAGGACGAAAGTCGAAAGATACCGAATAATTTTTTCTATAAATGTACATATACCAAAACTCATTAGGTGTCCTTCGTTTTTTGGTGTGAAAACCCTTAAACTAGATGCTACTAAACTTTATACGATACTCTTTGTTTTAATAAATCACATTTTACAAAATAAGTTACAGTTTCTTAATATGTTTTCTTTGCAGTTAAAATGTGATATATGCTAATTAAGAATATATAAATTATTAGAATCAAGTAAATATATTGAATCGGATTAGCGAAAACAGATTTTGGAGTAGTGTACATTAAACATCATCCACACTGAATAATAATAAAAATATGGTTTTCGATCTAAAAAATTATGGATTTATTGTCAAAAGTCTTTGTTTCTCCACCTTCTCACCATGTTTCGACTATGGAATATCTTATGAATAACTTAGCTTTAATTTCATTTTCCATGACGTGAAAACCAGTACAAATCTTGATATATTTATTGTCAATGTTACACCATTAGTTACACAAAATACTTTCGCCTCTAGGAACTTCGATTTTGCAAATCTTGAGATTCTCTCCTTAAAACCTTTATTACTTTTGCACAGATTTTACTCAACCGGAGAAAATCCAGATTTAAATGTGATTCATTCTGACCAAAGCAGCCGATTCAAAAGTTTGTAGTTTACACCACATACAGTATTTTGTTTGAGGTAAAGGTTATGAATGATTTTTAAGCTAAACAACCTATCAAACCTATATAACTCTAATCGAAACTCGAGTGAAAAACTATCGAATTAGTTCATGGCTAGCTTTTCGCATAGTGCATCAATTAACTCTTAACGGATTTTTCCGCCCATCTTCACTTCGTTTCGTCGGTCTAACAGTATTCTGTTAGAGTCGGTTGACACATGTAACATAGAAAAATCCCATATAAAACAACAGAGTGAGACTCTTCACAAGGAGAGAAGAAAGACGAGCGATTGAAGAACTAACTCGGGAAGTCGAGAAAGCAAAGTCCATGGCTAGAAGGATTGCATTAAAGAGGAGAGTTGAAGCTACTGAATATGCCTTGGACATTTTCTTGATAACCATCCTCTCTTGTTTGACTATAATCATTTGTGTTTCTTTTCCTGAATTTGCCTTTACTTTGTGTACATACGTATGGTAATCTTCTCTGAATTTTTCTATTCAGTATTGGATTCACACTTTGGGGAATTCAAAAACCATATTAGCAATTTGTTTAATCCCTTCAAGATTGATTCCCAATCATTGATTCCCAATCAAAGCGTTTGAAGGTTTTTTTACTTGTGATTAAGAAAGATAATCATAGCCACCGGTATGAAAAATAAAACTTTAGATTATGACACTGGAAACAACAGGTCACAAACAAGTATAGTTATTGCCTCATAAAAGGATAAAATTACACCATGAATGCAACACACCAAAGTCATCGAAAGAGAGAAGATCTCCATTTTCTTATACTCTTAACGTATGTGAAACTCATTCAATATGAAGAGCTAGCATATGGTTTCAATTTCTTTGGAGGTGGGTTTCCTCCAGAGAGCACCACATTAGAATAGAGACACAACTTTGCAGCACTCTAGAGCGACTGGTAAGATCTTGCAATCTCTCTCGAGGTAAAAAACAGAAGTGATCAGTGTAGAGCTTGTAATATCACGCTCGTTTTTTACTCTTGTCGAAACTCGAGGTGATAAACTATGCAATTAGTTCATGGCTAACTTTTCGCATAAAGATTGATATGCCACGGTGCAGAGCTTGAATTTTTCCTCGCTGCATTCTGCATGTTCTCATCATACCAATTTGTAATCAGTGTAACATACCAGGCTCTTACACAGTTAATTTCCAAAAGAGACAAATACATACCAATTTGTAATCACTGAAGGCGTGAATAGAGATTGTATTGGTTACCTTGGTAGAGACGTGGTGACGATCTGGATGCCATTTTAATGCACAAGCTCGATATCTGAGGAAAAAGTTGGTAAGCAAGAGTTGTGGAGATTAATAAAACATGATATATGTAACCATAGCTTCCCTCTGAAGTGACTAATATACTTGCACATTTTTGACATCTTCAATGTTTAAGGACCTGAGGAACTCAGACCAAGTGCATGTCTATGTGAGTCATGGTCTGATTCTGTGTCGTTCAATTCTGCTGAAGAATATGTGTCTTCTTCTTCCTCATCTAATCGATGTCTTGATCCCCACAATCTTCTAAAGTTGTTAGAATGCCTCTGCGAGCGAGCTTCCCCCTCTTCATGGGTGTTTGATCTAGAGAAATCCTTGGCTCTTCGACCTCGACTCTTCCTCTCTTCATGGGTGAATGAAAAAGAGAAACCTCGTGATCCACCCAATGCAGTCCGTATAAAGTATTCAGTTTCAGATCCATCATCAACTCCACAAAAATCAAAACACCCTACACAATTGAAAAGCATTGTTAGAG